GAGTTGCTAATTAAACATACATGTATTATTTTATATAGACTTATAATCAGGGCCGGCCGTGGGGCAGGGCCAACAGAGCGACCGCCCAGAGCTCACAGATTTTGAGGGCACCAAAGCATTAAGGCCCATTGAATTATTAATGCCTCATTTTATGTTTGGACTTTCATTTAGTTTGGTATTTTTACTAATAACCAACTATTTTAGTCTATCCTAATTAGTCTTTTATAACTTTGTCATTGGCTTGTATAGGTATGAGATTTATACATGGATTGTCTACCCTAACCCGCTAAAGACTTGTTTCGAATAGTTATATCAATTTTTGTATTAAATTTTTAAAAAAATTAATCTATTTTGCCAAATTTATTTATCAGTTGACTTACTAAATTATTGTTTGAGTTGACAAAAATATTAAGTGTTCAATTTTAATTATGTTATTCTTTTTTTCGCCAAATTTGCCACATTTTTCCTCTCTTATAATGTATTATTCTATTCCATGTATAATAAAAAGGAATAATAAATTCTTATTATTAGTTACTTACATACATTTAATTATTAGTTATTACTAGTAAATAATTTATTTTTCTCTCACATTTATTATAATTGTTATATTTTCATTACATCTAGGTGTATATATATATAAAGAGAAAGTATTTACAAAAATAGTAACAAAAGTAGACGGGAATATTAATGTATACCTTATATAAAAACTTCATTTTTGAAAAGCAAACACAAAGGTTTACTATTGTAGTCACGAAGTCCGTTCTTAGAAATTTTAGGAAATTAAGCCTCGACTCACTTCATTAATTCTTTTTATCAGAAAATCAATTTAATTAATAGTANCAACTTTTTTTATAAAATTTTATAATTTTGTTATAATCTTCATTAATATAAAATAACTTCATTGTCGTTGCTATTATTTGTCGTTGCTATAAAACTTTTAATTGGCACAACTTCATTGTTGTGCCAATTTTGTCGTGCCTACTAAGCTTGTTTCTTGTAGTGATTCTTCATTTTTTTTTTACAACATGATAAATTGTTTATGAAATATAAAATAATATGGGCACAATTTATCATTTAGCTCAGGGCCTCTAATTTTCAGGATCGGCTCTGCTTATAGTTATCATGCTTCGTTTCATTATTTCTCTTATTTTATTTATATTACCACTAATTAATTAGAGTTGTGGTCCTCGTGGAATATCTATTTTATATATAATTTCGGAACGTGCTAATTTGTAGGTTCGCAGGCTTCGAGATTTTATATGGCAAAATTTCATACTTCGTCATTTGACTTAAATAGATTTCAATTGCCTTTCAATCCAAACCTATTTAGGCTTAAAATTATCTATAAATATACTGGATATTTATGACCTCTTTTATGACATTAATTGTGTTGTAATACCATTTCATATTTTTGGATGTGGTTTATAAGGTATGAATTTTTTTTCCTTCAATCTTTCTTTGATTCTTAAATTTATTTAAGATTGAATCAAATTAACTATCTTTTGATTAGGTTCAATTTGATATCCATATTGTATATATAAAATAAATAAATAATCATATTTATCTTTACAAAGAAAAATAACTTATCTATTAATATAATTGGAAAAAATAAAAATATTTGTTTATTAAGAAAATTTAAGAACAAAGTAGTTATATGATATAAGTCAAGAAAATATAATGATATAAGATGAGTAATTCGTATATGTGACGGGTGTCATTTTAAATAGAAATAATCGTATTTTTTGAAAAGCATTTAAAATTTAAAACAATTTTTTTTTTACTTATTAAACTTAGGTATAATTTTTTTAACAAACACCTGTGTAATACACGGGTATTATACTAGTACAATTAATAAAATCGTACATCTTCGCCTTTTAATTTACATTCCCAGGTACAATAATAAATTAAATTTCTTGAATTTTATGGAAATTATATGTACTCAACCTGTTAAGTGAATTAAGTGATGAATATAAAAAAATATAGAAGAAGAAGAGGCAAAATGAGAAAAAACAGGGAAAAAATAATGTTGCGCATGCTACATCAAAATTAATGTTCCATTACTTGACAATCAGTCATTTACACATTACATAGTTAAATTTGACGAAACAACTTATTACTAAGCGGATGATTATTAAACCAATTAAACCAACACTGTGACTGTATAAATTTAACCTATTTCACTACAAAAAAATGATGAAATTCCAACATAAATATATTTCAATAGAATTCCAACGGCAATTCCAATGGATATTTCAATGCTATTATTTTTGTTCGAATAATTCAAACGGAAATTCCAACAAAAATATTCCGTTGGAATGAGTTTTCCATTGAAATTTCCGTTGGATTTTGACGATTCCAACGTTAGATTTTCTAACGGTGGTGGAAATAAAAATTCCAATGGAAATTTCTACGGTGAAAAGCAGTTGGAATCATCAAATTCCATCTAAAATTTCAATGAAAAATACATTCCAACGGAATATTTTCATTGGAATTTCCATTTGAATCATTCCAACGGAAGTTATATCATTGGAATATCCGTTGGAATATATTACCATAAGATTTTTCGTTGGAATATAACAATTTTTTTGTAGTGTCTAATTTAATAGCTAATTTCTAAGGCAAAATAAGTTTTTTGATTTCTTAACTGACCCCGTTTTCGCTTTTGGTCCCAGTAAAGGTCTATTTTTGGAAATGATCCTCCAGTGAAAAATTAATAATTTATTTGGTCCTCTGACTGGCTATAACAAGTCAGTGTGACCGAGGCCCGCCTACGTGTAAATCATTTTTTTATTTCTGCTGAGTTGGCAGAATTATTTATAAAAAGGTGGTAACAGGAGAGTTCGAACCCTGTACCTCCAGAATCAAAGGCAACTTGATCTACAACATATTTTGTTAAATACTTGACTTCAATTATATGTCTATCAACATTGTTTTATCCAAAAGAAATATAATAATTAAATTTATACCACTTTTAATTATAAATTATAAATAATTATTTATTAAATATGTATTAATTAAGAAAATAAAATCAGTAAATTAAATAAATAAATAATTAACATATATTATTAACTACTTTGTTTTATTTTAACTTTTATTTTCATTTATGTTGTTTTTGTATATTGGTTTACCTTATTTAATTTCAATTAAATTTTATTTATTTATTAAATAAATAAATATATTAAATTTTAATTATATGTTTTATTGAATTTGATATTATATATTTTATTACTTTATATTATATGTTTTATTATTTATTATTTACTATACTAATAGTAATATACTTTATTTTTTATTAGTTAAATACTAAATATATGAAATAATAAGCAATACAATAAACTAGAATTAAATGAAATATATAAATTAAAAAATAAAATAAAATATTATATTTTTATTTATCAATTTTATTTATTTTTTGTTTGTAATTACTATATATTTATAATAAAATTTATTTTTTGTTCTTAATTTTTTTTACTATTTAAAATATTTAAATAAATAAATATATTGAATAATATAATATTATTTAACTATTTAATTTACATATTTTAATTTCGAAATTATTACATATTTAATACATAAATTATGTATTAAGTTTAAAACTAAAAGTGGTATAAATAGAGTTATTATTATTATTATTATCATTATTGTTATTATTATTATTATTATTTTGATAAAATGATGTTGAATTACAGATTAATATATATTTGAAGTCAACTTTTTAAATATATGATCTTGTAGATCNTCTAGTCTTGCCTATGTGACATTTAAATACCTAAGTTTTGAATGACATGGATAAAACTATAAAAAATTAATAAAATTCACCTCAATGCAAAAAGATTGGGATCTAAGAGCATCCACAATGCTTTGGGTTCAATCCCAAAAAATTATATGCCACCTAAGAAATAGACCTAGTCTACAAAAAATATATTATCCAATGCAAATAAAAGTAGACTGGGTCCTGCTGATGTGACTGCTAAAAAATGAGACCCGATCTAATCTTAAGTCTATTTTAGACCCAAGAAGAGATTAGTCTCTTTGCATTGGAGTAGATTTTGTTAATTTTACATAGTTTTATCTATGTCATCTAAGACTTGGGTTATTTACATGTCACACAGGCAAAACTAGATCCAATGCATTGCAGATGCTCTAAAATAGACTTAAGGGTAGACTGAGTCTCTTTTTCTTGCTACCACATCAGCAAGACCCAGTCTACTTGCCTTGCATTGGAGAATATATTTCTTTAAGTTGGGTATATTTCCTCTGTGGCATATAAATTTTTTTGATTGGATCCAAAACATTGTGAATGATCAAGGGACTAAAACTTTTTTGCCAATTTCTAATAAGGGTTCCGAAAATAAAACTATGTCCTGTTTGTTATTAACTACCGTGGTATCATCAGTTATCGTTGTGTTGGGACAAATAGAATTTCGATACACGTACACAAGAAATAAAAACCATTTTATTTTAAATCTTGTGCTAAAACAATTAATTGAAGTCCTGAAACACAAATCAATATCATATGGCAAGCATGTGCATGCCAATGTCTTGTTCAATGGGCAATAATATACATAAATATAAAATAATAGAATAAATTAATAGTAAACAAATGAGTTCATAGCCCATAGGCATCGTTTAAGGAGCTGGCAGTATTTGGCAATTGATCCTAGACTGGGCTTACTGAGATATTATTATTATCTTCTACTTAATTTGACTTCATGTCTTTAAGCAAATAAACATAAAATTACATCATGTCTTTCTTTGATGCCTTGCACACCATATTATACACTTACATACATGTCCAGACCCATACACAACACAATACACCAACAATCACCAAACCAGAACATACAACATTAACTTAGAAGAAACTTAGATATTGAAAAATCCTTTCCACCTAAAGACGGTTCAACTAGCATTTACCTGAAACGGCAAAGCAAACTGGAACCATCCTTGAAGAAGCCACAACATAAAATCAATACACCAACACAAATCGAGCTTCTTCTCTAAATCTTATCGAGCTTTTCTGCCATGACAACAGGGTTTGCTCGGGCAATTGCATCCCTGCCAGCTGTACGGTAGTCAAAAGGGCAGTCATGCTTATCCGAATAGCGATGTGATCCGCAGAAGAGATTCCCACATCGGCATTTGAAACCGGTCAAACCGACTCGTTTCTTGCAAGATGTGCACTTATTAGGGCCGTGAGCCGCCTTAATAAGCTCACCAGGATTGGCTGAGCTGGAGGCATTATTAACTGAAGGCGAAGATAGTAATGAGTCCACTTGTGCACTTTTATCGAGAACAACAACAGATTCAGGCTCGATAGGCCCATTAACGAGAACCTCTATTGATGAGGCGGCCAGTTTGGCTTGTTCTTGTTTTAATATAAGGTCTTTGTAGCATTTTGAGCACATGTTCATGTTAGCCGGGCTTCCGAAGAAGCCACAATTGTTGACACATAAAACAGGGCATTCGGGAGGAGGCTGGCATCCTGTCTCGTCACGCTCCATTTCTTTTTTTCTTTTTTCTTTTTAATTAATTAATTTCTGCTGAAAAAGTACGAGGTATTAATGATTCTGTAATTAAAACAGCAATTTTTCACTTTATAATTATAAACAAGGGAAGAACAATCTAAATGAATAAAGAATATCTTGTATTTGCTTTCGTTCGGATGAGTATAGTAAATCATCCAAGCCAAGAAAAGAATTATACAACAATTTCTTAGTCTATAGACTTCAATTATATTTAGTTATATGCCAAACATAACAAGCAAGGCAAGAGGTTATCACCATATGAAGCTAACCATTAAAACTTAAGGAAGCAAAGCAAAGGACACTAAAGCAATAGGAAGATATCCTGGGACAAATACAGTTGGAACAAAAGAGTCTGAAAGGTTTTGCATAAATACTTGGTTCAAAGGGCAGATGATAATAGTTTATGAAAACCTTACAATTTTTACTTCTTAGGTTGCTAGCAGTCATCACCACCAATAAAGGTTTGAGCTTTAAAGATTCGTTTTTGTTCTCAAACCACACAGATTGATACAAAACATAAAAAGTATAAATTTGAAAAGAGGGAAACTAATTGAGGCATGGATACAGCAGGAATTAACAGTTTCACCTATGATAAATTGGGGGGAAAACGGATTGAAATAAATTAAGAAGCTTGAAAGGCTGAAAGGGTTGAGCTTTAGATCGTAACACCAGTTCGTCACAAAATTTTCTCAAGAACTAACACCAGATTTCACATATTACCCAAAAAGAAAAAGAAACTGAAAAGGAATGACCGTCGAACACAAACTCCATCAATTAAGAAAGAAAAGCTGAAACACCATAAACTTGCATCAGCAATCAACAATTATAAAATTAATTGGAATTGGAAAAAAAAAAAAAAAGGAGGCAGATACCAAGGTCATTCAATAGACGATGGATCCGACATTTATGAAAAAGATCGAGAGATTAGAGAAACTAAACTTACGCAGGAATTGCTTCTTGTTTACACCACATAAAACGTAACGATTTGGGTCGTATCGAAAATCTTGGAGGTTGAAAGCTTTTAGGTGGTATTTCTTTTTATTTGTCACTTTTTTATTTTCTGTTTGTGATGATTAGGTGAATTCGTGGGTGATTGTTATTTGCCTGGACTTTCTTCTTCAACTTTCTGGTTTTGGTCCGTCTTTTGCATCCGAGTAATATAGGATGGGATTGGACTAAAATAATGCAAATGTGAAGAATTGTCCTGTTTGGATAAATATAATTCTATGTTTGTTATATGTGATAAGGATTAGGATAATTTTATCTTTAAGAAAAAAAAAAAAAAAATTGTTTATGTCACCACAATTCAAACATATTGGTGTAAAATACTCTAGTCGGGATAAATATCATTGTTGGGGGTAAAAAATAATTCAACAATGCAGGATTAAAAATAATTTTCTCTCATGTCTTTCTTCATTCATGGTTGAATATCTACAAAAAAATCTTTGTTGGGGGCAAAAAATAATTCAACAATGCAGGATTAAAATAATCACACTCTTTACTTGGGATTCATTTATCCCATGAATAGGGGATAAATATCATTTTTATCTCGAGCCGACCCAATCTCGCGGGTCTCAGTCCACCGAACCAAACGCAGGATTAGGGCTGGTTTAGGCGGGATATCTGCATAATCATAGAAAACAAACATGGGATGAATGTTTTATTAAAGTCATATTTTAAAAACCACCCATTGTGCGGGTTGGACTCTGGGTCGCCGCTCCCACGGTTGGATCACCGGATTCAATTGCTGAAATAAGTAATTAATTTTATAAAAATTTAAATTATATTTTATAATATTTTTACCTCATAACAATACATAAGTTTTATACCCTGAAGTCTTAATAATATTGTAGTCTATCATCAATATTTATCACATGAATATAAATACAAAATTTTATTTAAAATCAAAATTAAAAAAAAAAACATAAAAAAATATATTTAATGGTCGGGTCTTTACCTCATAACAATACATAACTTTTATAATCTAAAGTCTTAATAATATTGTAGTCTACCATAAATATTTATCACATGAATATAAATATAAAATTTTAAACAAAAAGTGGAAAAAAAAACATAGAAAAATATATTTAATGGTCGGGTCAAGCCAAGTTGACCCGGCCAGGTCAATACCCAAGTCCTGGGTTTTGACCGGGTTTGATCGGGTCCCTTGCTACCCGGTCCAAACAATACACTCAGACCGGTCCCGGATCCGAGTCAACCGGATCTCGAGCCGACCTGTCGGGCAAGTCTAGGTCTCATGCTCATGATAACAGTGACAAATTTGTTCCCTTCCAATTGCGGTTTTGATTTCCACCCCTTATATTTATAAAAAGGTTACTAGAATGTCCTCGACTTACTGGAAATTCATAATTTCATTGGAAACAGTCTCGTGAACCACATGTGACCTGGTCAACAGTCAATTTAATGCGATGTGGAACCGGAAATCCAACGTGACGATATAAAAATGACACATGGCATGTAAAAATTAAACAAAACATTATTGAATCCACGTAACTCGAATAACATTAAAAATATAGAAATGAAATGGCACATTAACATGCTTTCTAACCGATCTAAGAGGAAGAGTAAAGAAATTTGAAATCGTTTCCAAAGAAAAAAAAAATCAAATCAAAATCAAAAGTTGGAGAAAAATCGAAGGGGACAGTGATTCCTGAGAAGGTTTTCATTTGAAAGAAGATTCAGATACACAATGGTCCCCCCAAGTACGATGAGTGTTAATTTTTAAATGAAAGATTATGGAGTTTTTGTTAGTTTTCATATGGAAACCATTATTGTAAGGGAATCATATGTGTGTATATATATATATATATGTAGGATGTGGTTCAAATGAGAACCAAGTCCTAGCGTGAGAACCGATATTTATAGTTGTACGTAGTGCTATGATTTATTTGTGTTTTAGTGTTATTTTTAACATGGATCTATTTTCTTAAAAATAACAACAAAATTTATATTAGCATTTGTGAAAATGATAGCACCATGTGATATTAAAAATAACATCATACACAATAAAAAATAGCATCAAATATGGTTTCCACGGTTCTCACACCAAGACTAGTTTTTATTTGAACCACTCCATATATATATATATATATATATGGTCATGCTCCAGTGAGAATGGTTCTCAGTGAAAGAAATAAGAATAAATCGTAGTCATTAGATCGAATGATCTAATGGATAAAAAAAAAAATCAAAGTTATACCATCATTAAGGATAATGTGGTAATTTTCTACGCCTCCACCCAACCACCACCTCATCTGCCTCTGTTCTTCAGTCGTCACCAGCGCCGATCGCCACCTCCACTCTCCCGCCGGCGACCTCCACTACCCTCCGGACAAGCTGCAGAACCACCGCCGTCAGTGACGACGCAGAAAGTCGGATAGCCGAAGCTCGACACCGCCATGAATCTGCCGCCAGCCATCATCCGTTGAAACATATTGTACACTCACATACACATTCTCCGGCGCATCCAGACCTTCCCCTCCGCCGTCTCCCCTTGTCCGACGCCGACACCTCTGTCATCTCACACTTCTTCCTCTCACCGGTCGGCTTTTCCTCGACGTTGACGTCGTCTTCATCCACGTCCGTTGCAACGACGCGCGGCACCGGAGAGATTGAGTTCGTCTTCTCTATTCACGGCCCAAGCTATGCGACTAGCCATAGCGTCTCGCGAGTATTGACGGCAGATGGTAGCCAAAATATGAAGACGTCTCCAGTATCAAGCGCCTCCGACGATGGGTTGTCCGATACGGCGGCTGGTGGTGGTGTGGTGGGTGGAGGGAGGGCCGACGCGTGTTGGTGAAGATGTTGTAACATTAATTTGGGGCTTGGGCTTTTTCAATGAGAACTAGTACATACCCCGTGCGATGCACGGGACAGAAATATTAAATGAGTTATTTTCACAGACTCGGTCCGTTTAAGTCTAAAAAGTAATAAGATTATCATCTATTTTCCACCTCTCTTTTAATGAGCGTTAAGTCTAGAAAACAATAGGGTTATAATCTATTACTAGTACGGTGCCCGTGCGATGCACGGGAGAATTTATTACCTATATATTTTTTAAAAAGTCTTTTTGTATTTAAATTGTCTCAGGCCATTAAAAATTTCGTGAAAAATGAAATTTATATGTTATTAAACACTTCCTTATGTACAATATTATTGATTTGATTCTTTGGCACGTAAAGTACTACATAGGTGTTCAAATTTATCCAAAATTGTATATTATTAGTTATTAGTTAACTAATTTTTTAAAAAATAAAGGATCTTATTTACTGAACAAAATTAAAGTAGAAAAAAAAGTAGAATTTTTTAGGGATCTTCATCCATTATTTATTTTAAATCTAATTCTAAATTTCAATTAAGAAAAATTGAAAAGAATCATTAGTTATTCCCGGAAATGAAACCGATTTTCCTACCAATAAACCGATTTTTTTATCAAACAAATTGATCCGAATTTTTTTTTAAACCAAATAAAAAAAATTATCAAATTTTCCTAAAAATGCAACCAAATTTTCCTAACATTGCACCAATTTTTGTATCAAACAAAGTGAATTGAAAATAATTCTAATAAAAAAATGAAATAAATTGTTAATGTTTATGCAACTGTCTCTTTCCTAAAGAAAATGATATGAACTTAACCAAAAAAAAAATGATATGAACTTACCAAAATCTCGGTAAAACATGATTAAGAAAAAACATATGAATCCAAAAACATCGATGCACTTAAATTTGAAAAGTTGCATACAATTTTTCCTAAATAATTGGATAAGGTGACTTTAAATATCAATGATGAACTGCTTTTGTTACCATAAAATGTGGACACAATTTTGAATGTACATTCCATCCAAATATCAGTTTTATTTTAAAATAAAAATTGCACGTGGCTTTATCCAATTTACACAATTTTTTTGAAAGAAAAAATTATTCAGTAAGATTGGAAGAATTGGTTAAGAATTATACAACTATTTGTTTCCTAAATTTATATCCAATTTGCACAGATTTTAAATTTATTTGTATTTAGAACTATTTTAATAAATAATTGACACATTTTTTGCATAAGAATCTCCAAATTTGTTACCAAAAAAGATATGATTTAAATTTTGGTAAAAAAATAAAATATGATACGAAAAAAATAGAATTCAAATTTTTCCATAAGAATCTCCAAATTTGTTACCAAAAGAATAGGATTTAGATTTTGTTATTAAAGATTCACATGTGTTTTTTTGAACTTTCCATTAATAGTAAGTCAAACATTATATTTATTTGGTCAAACTTTCTATTAATGTATTTTTCCAACAACCTCTTTATATATATATATATATATAGATTCGTCTCTCGCTATATTAAATAAAACAAAGGCTTCAAATCATATTTTATACTATATTATTATTATTATAATTTGTAATTAATCATGTTTAATTATAAATATTTATGAAATTAGTATTTAGTCAAATAAATAATTATAAATATTTTAAAAGTGAGGAATAACCAGTTCCAATTAATCAAAATACATAAAGAAGTTGTATAACATCTATATATATATAATAAGAATTACTATTTACCAAAAATAGTAAACCAAAATTTTTAGCCATCATTTAATACATACTATTTTTGGATTTTTTTTTAACTTTTTAAAACATCAAATCGGGTAAACATTAAATGGAGCCTATAATGGTGGGTTTTGTTGAATTATGTTTTCAAAATTTCACTTAATATGTAAGATAATTTGAAATTAAATATCCCTTCTCAGTTTTGATTCCACAAAATCAGATTGCATTTTTTATTAAAAAAATCTGACTGCATACAAATTGGCGTCTTATTTTGAATTGAAATTTTGAAAATCAAAATCTTTCTCATTTTGGTTGCCATAAAATCGGGTTTCATTCAAAATCCTAACCTAAAATTAAGATTTTGTTTAAATTGAATTTTCAAAATAAATAATCACATGCGGCAACTATTGGATGGTTAAATAAAAGAAATCATTCCTAAAATAAAGGATTATGAGTCATTTTACATTAGAACTCTTGGTAACTACTCGATAAAACCTAATAGAAAATATTTACTTTATCTGTTTCCTCTATTAAATATACAGTAGCCGAAATATATATGTACACTGTTAATCTTTCTATTGTTCAGTTCTTCGTCTTTCTTGTCACGGGAAAGTGTAGATCGGGGAGCCTCCAAGCGGCCCAAGGAGTGGCGAAAAGAAAAGATTGGCACCTGAAATCTTTCTACCAGTATTAGAAAAAACTCTTTTTTCTTTTCTCTCTCTACTTTACATTCAAAATTTCTCTTTTATTCATATTCTATGTAATCATGGGAACCATGTAAGTACATCTAATATCTACGTTATTCTTTTGCAGATAATTCGAGCTATAAGGCAAAAAATCGACAAATATATACATGGAAGAACACGGTGCTACAAATCTACAAAAAACTGCTTGTGGAAAGACACACACACAGCCAAAGGAAGTTGGATAAAAATATTAATCCATGTAATACTTATACTTCAATTTTAAAAAATTTCTTATATTTGACTTGTGTGTGATATCATAAATCTATTTTGATTTTGATTTTTTTAAATCATTATCTCATATAGAACATTACCGTTTGTTTTGTTAAGTTTTACCTTTCATGACATATAAGGTTCTCGAGTCATGTGATTTGTATTGTTGGATCTCCATGTCCATGTATCAAAAAAATAATAAATTAATTATTATGTGTAAAATGTACACTTAAAAAACTGATGATTAAATAGAATAGACGCATTTTTATTGACATGAATTTGTAAAATCCTATTACTGTCTTAAGAAACAAATAGTACATAATTAGGGAAAATGCTACGGTCCCGTTAAGGAACCATTCCGTCTGGAGTTTTAATCGTTGGATACATATGTAGTTGAACACCCGACGAGATGGTACAATAGCATTTCCCATTAATTAGTTATCTAGAATGCATATGTATAAAACTGAATGTTAAATTGTTATTGTATTTACCTTTCGTTTGTTCTTATACGAATATTGGATTGGTTGTGTTGTTATCCGTGCCTCCATCCAAATGTACATGCACGAAATAATATACAACATGTTTATCAATCTGTGCAGCATATGTAAAACACAAACAAACAACTTAATAGTTTTTCAGATTTCAAAGTAAGTAACAAATATTTATTACCTTTTTTTCGTGTTCATTGGCCAGCCCTCAATCTTCACACCTTAACCATTGCGTTACTCATAATCAGAGGACATTAAACAAAATAACAAGTTAATTAAATTTGATAGTTGCAGTTAATGCGAACAATTTAAAAATGAGAATACAAACACATATCTTAATTGTTTTGTCAATTTTATGGTTTTGTTGATCCGATATATTGAACATTAGGCCCAATAATTAAAAAAAACGGGCCATTTAAATTGTTGTGAACTTTTAATTTGGGTCAAATATTAAGCCATATTTATTAGGAAGTATTTATTGGGCTTAAATAAATGTGATGTTTTACAAATTAGTTATAAAAATACATACTAACAATATGTTTGACTTAATATATTTATAATAAATTATTATATAGATGCATAAATTATATTTCCAAGTAAAATTTTTAATTGTTCTAAATTATATGTACATAAAATATAACTTTGTTTTTTTATTTTTTTGTTTGTTTTTGTTATCCCTCAGATAAGCGAATGGCTTATCATCCTTCAGTTATGTGCAATACATTAAATCTACATTTACTACCAGATTATACGTTGCAACGCACGCAAAATTCTCCCTTATCGGATACTACAAATGGTAAGTATTTAATACGCTTATTTGTTAAAAACTTTACTTCATTGTTTTTTTGTTTAATTTTGAGATTTATTTTTAATTTTTCATTTATATTACAGTTTTTGGAACATATCGTCGTGTACACCATCAAATAATATATATTGTAACATTTGGAGTAAGTTTTTTGTTTTATTTCTATTATACAAAATTTATAATAATCTTTTTGTTGCATTTAAAAAAAAGGAACGTCGGTCGTGTTGTTGCAGAATATGGACCATTCTATGGGACTGTGCGCAGTGGGACACGATTGGTTATGACCAAACTCTTCGCTCATGTGCTCGAATGCAAGATATTGACGGGAGATCACGCTGGCGATAAAGTGTTGATTTTTTAAAATGTCCTCTACTTCTTTTGATCTTAGGGTTCAATTCCATTTAAGTTCCAGCAACAACAATTTCACTTATGGTTTCCTATGTAATGACCATAAATAAGAGTAAGAGTCAGTCTTTATCTCATGTTGGGCTATTTTTTAAGAAACATGTTTTTAGCCATGACCAGTTATATGTTGTTGTTTCGCGTGTAACTAATAGAAACGGGTTGAAAATATTAGTTTGTCGGAACGATGAGTTCCAACAATCAAGCTAATAATGTTGTGTATAAAGATATTTTTAATAATATATGATTTTTGTTTTGTCCAAGATTATATGATTGTACAATTTTCCTACATATTATAACTCTTTCATTTTATTTATACACTTTGAATTATAATAATACCCAAATAAATATAGCATGTGCATCGCACGGATCACGTACTAGTAAGGGAAAATCCAACAAAAAGGGATCAATTGAAAGTCTTATTATTATTTATAAAAATTATATCATAACTAAACAAATAATATTAAAGTATTTACAAAATAAATTGACTCAAATAATTGAACCTATTCATATAATATATTTTTAAAATAATAATAATTATCAGTTTATTTTATAAACTCAAAAAAATTATAATTAATGTATCCTTTAGAATTTATGTTTATTTGAAATTAATTAAGAAGTTATGGAAATAACTCATTTAATAAACATTCAACCTAATAAGTAAACCTATTGCTACACATAAACGTACGCTGCTTCGAGTGAAGACAAAAAAATTCTACAGGTAAAGGAATTCAAAATTTTTATCATGCCTTTTTATTTCCTTATGTTGTTTTCTGTACAAAGTCTATAAGGTTAGAAAGGAATAAGAAATTGGGGAGGAGGAGAATTTGAGAGGAAGAAAAGAGATTGTTTTGTGTTGCGAATTTGAGAAGATGGAAAATTAGGGAAAAAGAAGAGCAAGAGAAGCAAAGAGAAGATAATAAAATAAATCCACAAAAAAACCCATAAATATAGGGTTGAAAAACTGATTTTTTGGCTGACTGATTTATGTAAAGATTTTATGGTCACCAAATTTTTGGCAATAAAATAATAATAAATTTGAAAATGATAAAAATAAAATGCATTAATTGTCCTTTGACTTTTCTTGTTACTAAATTTTGTAGATAGGATGGCTCTATATATATTTTAGGGACTTATCTGTAATATTGAAAAAATTTAAATAAAATGCCATTTAATTAACGCTAAAATGTGTAATTTATCACAAAAATATAATAAGTGCACAATATTGTTGATTAAATTGCACAATATTGTGCACGGATACGCACTTTGAAATTACGCATGTTACAGAATATACAATAATAGTATACGAAATGCACATTAATAAATAAATTATATATATATATGTATATATATATTAAAATAATAAATAAAATATTAAATAAAAATAAGATAAGATAATAAAATAATATAAAAAATTTTGTAATAATAAATAAATTATTCAGTAAAATTAATATAAGATATTAAAATAATATAAAATTATTTTTCTATAATAAATAATTTATATAATAATAATAATCAACAAAAAACTATTTTAATTATTTAGGTTAATTCGATGTACAATTATACACGCAATTTATATGTGAAGGTATAAATTAGCTAGTGCACTTTATATATAGAAATATCGCACTTTATAAAATAATACGTTGCATTTTATATAACAATATGTTGCACTTTATCATATAGTCTATCTACAAAATATACAAGCATGCTAACGTACCAATAAATACAAGCATGCTAGCGTATCAATATCAATATGTTGCACTTTATATGTAATACATTGCACCTTATAACAGAACATGTTGCACCGTACAATTATATATATTAAAACTAGTTTTTGAATACGCATAATTTATCTAAAAATGTATAAATTAACGCACTTTATACAACACAATGTTGCACTTTATAAAATAACGTGTTGCACTCTACATAATACTTTAATATCCATCAATCATCTATAAAAAAAAAAAAGGCATGTTAATGTACCAAATTTTCAGTATTGCACTTTATAGATCAATACGTTGCATTTTATACAACATTATGATGCACCTTATAACTCGTCATGTTGCACCTATAAACAACACGCTGCACCTACCAATTTACAATAATTATGCTAATCGACCGAATAATATTAGTTGTTTAAAGGTCATATTTATAATTTTTTTTCTTTAAATAAACCAAATAACTGAAATGACGAACTATATGAAAAAATACTACCGATTTTTTTAACTTCAATTTTTATGGAAAAATAACAATATTTGTCTATCTATATTTTTTTAATTTTTTATGTATTGCAAGTGCACGTTAGGGTTATATGGCTTGCACATAAGTGTCTACCAGATTGCACAAAAAATCGAACGAGATCCAACGAATAGAAAATCGGTACAAAAGGTTTTATTTTGTTTCGATTATTATTATTATTATTATTATTATTATTATTATTATTATTATTATTATTATTATTATATATTGATTATTTCGGTATGATGTCATTTTTTATTCGAATAATCAAAATAAAAAATAAAATATTTTAAATTTAAATTTTTATATTTTTTATTTAAAATAATACTATTATTTTCTATTACTATATTTTTTATGTACATTTATTTCAAAACTAAAAAATTATAAACATATTAAAGATTAAATGAAATATATCTAATAAATGAACTGTTAAAATACTAATATATAGTTTGATTAATTACAAGTTCACCCTGAATTTAATTGTAATTTATTAAACTTGTTGAAATTGTAATTAAGTCCCTAAATGTTATCAAATTTACAAACAACAATAATGAAATAAAAAGTACACAATTCGTCTCATAAGCATAAAAATACACATTTCCTCCCATAAACATAAAAATACAAAAATGATGAAGATTAAATTATGCAAACTGAACTCTAGCAAACATTCATTTTTCAGTCAGTTTATACACCTGAAATAATAAGAGCAAAGCATTCATAGTGAATGTATTGTATTTATCGGCCATAGTGAATGACTGAATGTATATATATATTTGTTATAGTTTTTTAATATTTACCGGTCCGGTCCGGTTAAACCGGCGGTTTGCCGCAGGTAATCCGTTAACCGGACCGGTTATTCCGGATTTTTAAAAAAATTAATCACCGAATTTTTTAAGACTTTTTTAACTGACCATTTAACCGATCCGCGGTCCGGATTGATAGTTTTTTCCGGTTAAAACCGAACCGTGAACACCCCTAGTGGTGGGACTCACCTGATAAATGAATAAATACATAATTACCACTTTGTCCTTATGTAGTGGTTGAATAAGTATATTTAACCACAATTTGTACACTTATTTACGAATTTGTCATGACATGTTTGACTGCCATATTAAAATTTTGACTGGGATCATAACCATTGATATGTTGGATCAAATGGTTCAAATTTATTCTCATTTCTTTCACTATATATCTATCATTCTCATATGATCTCTTCTATATGTTCATTAATCATAATTTTGATATTCTTCTATCATATCTTAATTAAATATTACTCTGCATCACATAATTATATATCATTAAAAATATTACTTCTCTAACTTTATATTTATTGACCAGGCTAGGTTTAACTAGTAAACTGTAACGAAGGTAGCTCTGACTCAGGGTTAGGCTCCAGTCGTGCTCCCCAAAAATAATGTTTATTTTTATTGAAATTATTATGGATTTTGAAAAAAAAAAAATGGCAAAAACAGTAATTGTGGACTGGGTAAGATTGATCGAACAATTCGACAGCACAGGCACAGCCGCGGTGCCGCACAGCAACAATATTGCACAATTTATGTTGTTTATCTTTCGGTCCCTTAATTCACATGTACTTGAATACTTCCCCAGTATAATATATATGTTATTTGCACTCGGACCCCTGTCTATTTCTCTGAGACAACCTGTGGACTCTCATTCTTGAGGGTTTTCTATCTAATTCACCTTCTCGAAGCTCAACACATCGGCTCCCTGTAAAAAGCCGGCGCTTCTATACATACAGGTATTGTATATGCATATGAGCAATTGCTATCTCATGTGAATATATGGTAAATTTTTCTTTTTTTCTTTGCTTTCTACAAGAAACTTTCCCTTACCTTGCTTGTAGGCTCAGGATCGAGAGCCCAATTGACGTCATAGGGAACTTTGATTAACCCGCTAAATGTAGATGTTACCAAGTGGAGTGTGGTCTTTTGTTGTTTATTATCCGAAAATTTTGAAGGCCTTCATACCTCTTGCAGCAATTATTTTTCTTTTATGAACACCCCTTTTTTGATATTTTTCTTTTATGAACACCCCTTTTTTGATATTTTTGGTTTGTTTTGAATTTATGCCATGTAGTTGTGATTGTTGTGTTAATTCCAAATGTTTTCTTTTTGACAGGTTTCTTTGAGCTGGAGGATAAGCTTGAGGTAACAAATTCCTACGCCGAATTGTTGCCTGCATGTTGAATATTGTGTTGATACGTGTCTCTGTAGTGGCTGTTCGTTATTGAATGAATTAATGTTTGTGTTTGCATGATTTTTAGATGTGCCAACTTTATAGTCTCTTAAAGTGAATTTCCTGGTCAGTTATGTGGCTATTTGGATGGTCTCGAATGCCTTTTTTGTTCTGCCAATATGTGATCGAGGATCTTCCATTTGTTGATATCTCCTCAGTAAAACTTGAGCTTTGATGTCTTCTTACGAAGTGGTAAAATATTTTAGGTGTTGGATTCTTATGAGGGATATCATAAATCTACGAGTAAGTTAGAATAATCGCTTATGGGAAATGTTTTCTTAGTCTCTTGTGATTCTTGGCCCACATAGTGAAAATGTACGCTTGTCAGCTGATTAACAGTCTATTATGCTTAATGCATGTTATACAATTCCATTTTCACAGAGTAAGTGCAAAAAGAAAGCATTGTCTAGAAAACTATTCCATGGGGGGGATACAAAAAAGATTGACTATATTTAGGATTCAATAAGCCTTTCATTAGTAGTTGTTCCCAATGTAACGATCTTTAGATAGAACACGGGAACGAGTGAGTGGGAGACCATGATAATGGTGGTTTCCTCCATTTTATTTGCCTGTTGATTTGTATTAGCCATCCTGGTTTATTCGGGGCGTAAAGCAATTGAATGATTTACTCTGTAGTCGGCTAGAAATTCTCCCTTAGAACTACATTTGATCAGAGTTGGCCATATTGAATACCTTTTGATTTTTTACTATGGGAATAAAGGAAATATTGTACCTTCATCTTCCCTGAAGAAATCGAAAGGCCCTTTCATATGATTTCCAGAACAGAAGTCAGCAAGTGAATGAAATCTTTATCAATAATGAAAGTGCAAAACATAAAAAGAAAGCCCCAACCTTTTGGACCTCGCCTTTTGAAGTAAAGTGTTTATGGAGACACTTGTGATTAGCACCAAATCCCTGAATTGTAAAATAAAGTAAGTTAAAGTTAAATCTTACATAAGAAATTAGAGTGGAAAAGATCCTAATCATGTTAGTAGACTAAAACCCTTTTTAGTTCCTCCTGAGGATTGAGTTTGACTATGAAATAGGTCTCAGTCGCTGATTCTCAGGTACATCAAACCTCGTTTGGCCTTATCTTCAGGTGTTCTCTCACGAGGTCTGAAGCTATCAACTGTGGCTGGCCCTGCTTGTTCGTAAAATGTTGCTTGTCCAAGTATCACTTATTTTTTCTTTGACCTACAGCCTAAAACCCTTGCTGTATGTAACATGAGATATGCCTGTAGTGATTTTCTACATGGGATATGGAATCCCTTTAAAGTTTTTCATTCAACGAAGAAATTTTCACTCGCATCAACTCAACTGATTCTATTTTTGAATTGTTAAACAAAATTTTATGGGCTCTGTAGCTATTTTTTCCCCCAAGTAAGAAAGCCCTTCGCTGGTGACAAAATTTCTACTTGTTTCGTCACCTATGGCCCAACAACTTATAATGATTCAAATACACACTTTCCTGAAGTGCTTGTGTGGGTGGATTTCTAATGTTAATTGCTTGGGTATAACTCACCTTCAGATCTGCTTATGCATATACCAATCTGAAGGGCCTTCTAAGATCTTCGAACAGTCCACATTGTCTTCTAGGAATTGACTCGGAGTAGTTTGGCGAGCGGATAGTGGTTTGGTGTGGGCTGGTCTTTTGTACTATTTGATCTGGAAGCTGTATATGACAATTTTTACTCAGCACTGGAAGATTTAATAGAGCATGTTATGGCGCACATGTCGATAGCTGGATGGAAGTAGCTGCAGTTGTATTGTGAGATAAAAGGCGAGGGATGAGGAAATATTGACCGAATTTGCTACTTTTTTGTATGCTAATCAGTTATTCCCGAGTGTGGTAGTTTTAATTTTGTTGAGAGGATAGGGGATATGCAAAACTTTTAAATTTTAACAGAAGGAAAACACAAGGGAATGGAGTGCCGGAAGTATTCCCTTGGAAGTTGGAAAGTTGTGTATTTGAAGTTCAAAAAAGGCACTACTGAACGTACTTTTAAATTTTTAGCTGCAGTTGTTTTATTTGTACATATGTGGGGGTTTGACATTCTTTCGTATACTTTTTGGATTTAGCTGGTTTTCTCTCATCCCTTTTGTTTTTCCATTCAAAAAAATTTTAAAAATAATTAAGAATCTCTGGAGATTCGAACCGACCAAACCGAACCGAATTGTTCCGAATATCGAACCGATTCGAACCGAAAAATAAAAATCTCCGAACTGAACTGTCCCCATTTTTGTGGTACGGTTCCGGAGATCAAATTTAGTTTGGACTATCAAATCCAAACTAAAGAAGATTGATAATTATCATAATAGTGGAGATAATTGCCTTTTCACATCTGGAACCATTCCGCCTCCATAATTCTCGACTCAGCAGACATGAGAGTGAGACAGTACAATTAAGTGATGTTGTTTCAATATTTATGCGTGGGAAGTTTCATATGTTGCTAAACAACTGAAGAAAATAGAGGATAACCGTGTTCATGTTTATGGTGATATATTTTGCTATTTAAGTTCTCATTATATAATTAAAGAAAATAAAAAGAGATGCAACAATATTTATGTGAAGATAATTTAGTTATTAAAACATCAATGAAAGTGGTAGAAAACTCTCAATATATAATTTAAATCTTTAACATGAATATACCTTATTTCTTACTCCTGGCCATGGAATTTTTATATAAAAATGCTAGGTTTGCAATTTTTACATCCTAAAACAGTCATACCTTTTGTGGTTACACTGGCTTCTATCTTACTCATTTTCCAATTTTCAGAAAACTTTGAGCAAAAATGGCTTTGCGAACCCTAATTACCAAAAAACCCCTAAATCCTTTGCGATTGGGTTTTCGTGGATTGCAGACAGTGTCACTACCAGATCTTTCCTACGATTATGGTGCCCTCGAGCCCGCCATCAGCGGGGAAATCATGCAGCTTCACCACCAAAAGCACCACCAGGCTTACATAACTAATTACAACAAGGCTCTCGAGCAGCTCGACACTGCCATTTCGAAGAAGGATACTTTGACCATCGTCAAGGTGCAGAGTGCCATCAAATTTAATGGCGGAGGTCTTGAACGGCTCTTTCTCTCTCATTTTGCTTTGTTGAAATATTTGGTCATTTCTGTTTCGTTGGCTTGTTGGTAGCTAAATTGAGAATAATTTTGATGCAGTTGTAGAAATATGACTAGGGATTGTTGTTGTGAAATGACATCGGGGCCTTCAAATTGGACTCAATCATGGAGGAATTTGTTAAACCGATAAGCATCAATGCAAATCTGAAATATTACTTTCTATTTCTCATTTTCTCCTACTTGAATCTTGAAGCATCTGAAAATTGTCAAAAGTATTTCACCAGTCAGATAAATGGCCTTAAGGTGATTGAGGGGAAATTAAGTTTCTGCTGTATTTTTTTGGTTGTTGGTGCACATTTTGCAAAAGAATGATCTATGGAGAAAAAATGATTCAGTCTTTTTTATGGGCATGGCTAAGTTTTTATGTCAACTAGCGAAATTGCACTTGTTATCTGGTGGCATTTTTGTGATTTTAACTTTGTCATAGTGTTTCAAGTTCTTCTACTTGGATTTTCATCTGATGATCCTTTGAAATGGGGTGATTGTCTGCAGGTCATATTAATCACTCAATTTTCTGGAACAATCTTGCTCCCATTCGTGTAAGTTTATCTCCCGGCTAATCTTTATGTTTTGTTGAAGCTTTTATTGGAAAACGCGAAAACCTCTGTTGCAGGAAGGTGGCGGTGAACCTCCCGAGGGCTCTTTAGGTTTGGCTGTGGAAAATGCATTTGGGTCATTGGAGGGGCTTATTCAGAAGATGAATGCAGAAGGTGCAGCTTTACAAGGCTCCGGATGGGTGGTAAGATTTTTTTTTTTCTTTTATCATATATTTTTTGTAATTCACGTTCGCACAAGATGTTTGACAGATTTTGTTAATTTCTTTCCTTTTTTTTTTTCAAATTTTTTTTAGTGGCTTGCTCTTGACAAAGAACTGAAGCGCCTGTCGGTCGAGACCACCTCAAATCAGGTAAGAAACATAACTTTTTATGTCGATTCTCTTTTGGTGTTTTTAGTGGCTTGCTCTTGACAAAGAACTGAAGCGCCTATCGGTTGAGACCACCTCAAATCAGGTAAGAAACATAGTTTTTTATGTCGATTCTCTTTTGGCTTCTGGTTTTTTTCGATTGTGATTTGGAATCTGCTTTACTATATAGTTTTACTGGAGTTCACGGTCTAGCTTTTGAATATATTTATTCTAATTAGTGTAGAATGAGATTTAGATTAGGTTTTCAATTTTTTGCATGTGTCATGTGTTACTTTGTCATAATGTTGAATGTTGTCAACAACCGAAGAACGACTATATCAACTTTAGAATTACTGCTTGCATATTCTGAATAATTGAGCGGGTGAAGAATCTCTATTCAGTGTGCCTTGTGAAGAACTTGGGGCGTTTATGTTAATTTCTGGATGTGTATAGTGTAAACATGATTAATCTTGGTAGTTCATGTCTGAATCTCTCACTTGAAAAATGAAAGTTATATATCAATCTTCTTTTTGCAGGATCCACTAATTACTAAAGGAGCAAGTTTGGTTCCATTGCTTGGTATTGACGTGTGGGAACATGCCTACTATTTGCAGGTAGCTTTTCTTATCTCAATTACGATTGTGTTTGGTAAAACTAGCTTATAACTTATAAATGATTTTCGAGCTTATAGCAGTTATAGCTGAAAAGCTAGCTTATATGATAATAGTGGTCGGTAAAATTAAGCTGAAATAAAAGGTTCAACGAGCTTATTTGAAAAGCTACCCAATGAAGCCAATGAAGCTTATGAGATAAACTCGAGTTTTTTAAAAAAGCCCGTCCCACCAAACAAAGCTTATTTGAATACATGAAACTTATAAGCTAACCAAATAAGCTATAAGCTAGTTTATTTGGTTACCAAATATAGCCTACATCTTTCATTAGGAGCCAAATCAGTGCAAATTCCTACTAATCATTTCTTGGATAAGAATATTGGGATTATGATATTGTTGCCTTTTTAACTACTACTACATTGTAAAATGTTTTATTTTCTTGTTTGCTTGTTTTCCTATTTATGTTTCGCTTGCATGCATGTTTTGTACAGGCATTTGTGATGGTTCTTCTAGACTTCTAGTTTAAATGGGTCCGCCATAGTTTTATTTATTTATTTTTTCTTATTATTATTTTTTTTTTGCTTGTGTTCGGAAATTACTGATACGAATATTGCTCGTGCAGTACAAGAATGTGAGACCAGACTACTTGAAGAATATATGGAATGTGATGAACTGGAAATATGCGACTAGTGTGTACGAAAAAGAGCGTGCTTGAGTGGACAAACCTTTCATTGTTCGGCAAATGGTGGTTTTCGTTAGTTGGTCTAAAAGACTTTTGAGTTGTGNTGATATAATCTCAATAATGTTTCAACTACTGTTCATATCTTGAATAATATGAACGATGCAATTGCAGACTGCATGATGCAGTGAAAATCTTTAACTTATTGCAAATTTAAAGACAATCTTGACCAATTAGTTTAACAGGTTGGTAGAATAATTTTATATTTTGTATGAAATGTAGTTTCAAGGTCCATTGACCATGAGCTGGTTCAGGGCTAGTTTCGGCCTGGTTCGGGTCCGGGTCGGGCCGTGACCATGTCTACTCATGATTCATGAATGATGCTTAAGGCCATCTTTCATAATTTTTGTGTATTTTAGCTCAACTTTTGACTAAAAAGTAAATTGTGAAACATTAACACTAGAAAGAGGGATAAAATGGAAATGTAAGATTCCTCTCGCAATGGGAGCCCAGGCGAAGTGTCCCTTTTGAAGGCCGTAATTAGTGGAGAGTGTTCTCCCTTCTCTGGTTTTCATTTTCCTTTTCGTTCTTTTCCCTTACTTGATTTTCACTCTAATCCCCTTTCTTCTAATTCTTTCTAGCTAGCTTTGTCTCTTGTTCTTTTAGGCTGCGGAGGACCCGATATTTCTTATCATCCATCAAGGTCTCATCTCAGTATTCTCGAAATGGAAGAAGAAATCACCCAGCAACTGACGTCTTTTCAACTCTCAGATAAAGAGGCCAACATAATTCCCAAAGATTTACAGGATATTCATAACAGTGCGGAAGTCTGTAAAAGGAGCCTCTTTGGGAAGATTCATGGACAGAAAAAAGCCCCAGGTCTCAGAAGAGCCATAGGAATCATTTGGCAGATTCGATCCACAGTTAATATCCGCGAAATAAGCTCCAATTATTTCCAGTTTGTCTTTTCTGATATTGAAGATAAAATTAAAGTGAGTAAAGGCACGGCTTGGACTTTTGAGAATCAGTTCCTAGTCCTTAAAGATTGGAGAGAAGATATCCATTCCAATCACGTAATCTTTAAGGAGTTGGACATTTGGGTACAAGCTTGGAACTTACCTCTACACTGGTGCTCCACGGAAGTAGGGGCAAAGCTCGGTAGCGCTTTTAAAGAATGCCACGATGTCTCAATCCCTCAGAGCGGATGGCTTGCAGGTAAATGTATTCGTCTGCTGGTAACCATTGATCTCGATCAGCCTATTCTTAGATGTGCCTCCTTAATGCTCCAGAATAGGAAAATATTGGTTGAACTCAAGTATGAGAAACTTGTCAGTCTTTGCTTCTACTGTGGAACTTTAGGCCACCTTGATAGACACTGTGAAAGCAGATCAGCGGACATAGCTAAAGGATCTGTCAAAGAAGGCATGTTTGGTGAATGGCTCAAAGCCCAGGACTACCCTCATCTCAACTCCCCCTCTTCTCAAACTACCAAACCAGACTCCCCTATTCCCAGTAATAGCTCCCCTTCGAAACCTCCCCACTCCACTAATCTCTCAAACATTATCCCAGATAATATTCCTCAGTCTACCCCTAAGTCTCCAACCCACCCCCCTGAAGCTCACCATTCTGTCTCTCGCATTCCCCCAAATCAACAGCCAAAAAACAATAATCCCCCTCTGAATGATCAACCAATTCCTATGATGGCAGAAACTTCTCCTTCTAATCCAGTCCATCCCATCCCTTCTCATTCTATCAACCCCTCGCAAATCATAAACTTCAGCCCTGATAATACAATAACTCCTTCACTATCCCCTACCTCCATCTCCTCTAAACCTCCCCAAAAAAGCAAAACCTGAAAAAGAAAGAATAACCCCACGGCTTCTTCCTTAGTAAACCCTACCTCTTCCCTTCTTCCTACCAGTGGCAAAAGACACCTTACAAACTCTAACAACCCTGAACTCTTAACCTTCTATCCTGTGGAGGATACAGATGATCATACCCAGTGCCCCAAAAAACAAAAACTTGACTTGTCAGTGGTGAGGGAGGCCAGCCCAGAATGGCCCCACCCCACACAATGAACACTATCTTCTGGAACTGTAGAGGGTTGGGTGGCCCCTCTACAGTGTCCCAACTCAAGGAGTGTGTTAGACTCCACACCCCAATTTTAACCTTTTTGTCTGAAACAAAAAAAAAATAATTGCTTTGTCAAAACTGTTTGTAGGAATTTAGGATTAGGTGATAACTGGTCCTCCTTTGAGCCAAAGGGCAAGAGTGGAGGTCTTCTCCTCTTTTGGAACTCTGCCACAAAAATAATTCAAATCCTTAAAAACTCCTTTTGTATTCAAGTTAACTTTTGGGATCCAAACTTGCAAGCATCCTGCTGGGGAATTTTTATATATGCCAGTACAGACATCACCACCAGACTTGAGCAAAGAGAGTTTATCCTTCAGGAAAAACATAACTGGGGCAACTTTTGGTTTGTGGGAGGAGATTGGAACGAGATAGCTAGCCAAGAAGATAAAAGGGGGGGAAGAACCAGACTCAACTCCTCCTTCAGACAATTCAATGACTTTATCCACAAACTGGGGGGACAAGATTTAGGCCTGATTGGACACCAGTTTACTTGGGAGAACAACATATCAGAGGAGGGCTATGTAGAAGAAAGACTAGACAGAATTTTTGCTTCTCTTCATTGGGCAGCACATTACTCATCAGCTCAAGTCCTTAATGTGTTTAGATCTTCCTCAGACCATAGTCTGCTACTCCTCAGACCTCAGCCAGCTCAAGCTCAACATAAGAAAAGGTTTCTTTTTGATAAAAGATGGCTCTCTAAGCCTGGAATCCAAGAAGTTATTGCTAGAGCCTGGGACTCCTCTCCAATTGGAACTCCTATGTTCAACCTCCATTCAAAAATTAAAAATACAAGGGTTGAACTACTGAAGTGGAGCAGGAATTTTAACTCTGACAGGAAAAAAAAAGTGGAGTGCCTCAGTAACATCTTAGCCCAGCAGAGAGTAGAGGGAGACATGAGAGACTGGCAGATTTGGGAGGATTGCAAAAGAGAACTGAATAAAGAAAATCACCTTGAGGAGCAGTATTGGAGGCAGAAAGCAAGAGTCCATTGGCTACAGAATGGAGACAAAAATTCGAAATATTTCCATGCCCAAACTGCTCAAAGAAGAAGAATCAACAATACAACCAAGCTACATAAGGAGGATGGCACACTGTGTGTCACTAAAGAGGAGATTACTGGTTGTATTGAAGATTACTACTCTAAACTGTTTGAAACCGAGGGATCACAAGGGGGGCATCACTTGTTGAGGAACATCCAACCTGTAATATCAGAAGAGATGAATACTGAGATCATGACCAAGGTGGATGAGACTGAAATTAAGGAAGCCCTCTTCAGCATTGACTCAAACAAAGCCCCGGGCCTCGATGGTATGACTTCCACATTTTTTCAGCATTTCTGGGATATCATTAAATCTGAGTTTTGTTCTTCTATCTCTAGCTTCTTTGATTCTGGTAGAATTTTAAAAGGCTTTAACCATACTCTGATCACCCTCATACCCAAAATTCAAAACCCTGATTTTGTCTCCCACTATAGGCCCATTAGTCTTTGTAGTGTTTTCTATAAGACTATTTCCAAAATCTTTGCCAATAGGCTTAAAAAATGGCTCCCCCTCTGCATTAGTGATAGCCAATCAGCCTTCATTCCTGAAAGGCAAATTCCTGATAATGTTATTATTGCGCATGAATCCTTGCATTTTCTTAATAGGCATAGATCTGGCAACACCTATTACATGGCCATCAAGCTGGACATGCCCAAAGCTTTTGATAGAGTTGAATGGCCTTGTGTTAGCCAAATTTTGTGCAAATTAGGGTTCAATTCCTGCTTTATTAATTGGATTATGGCCTGTTTATCCACTTCTTGTTTCTCCTTTAATGTAAATGGTGATCCCAAAGGGTTTATTCAGGCTAGTAGAGGAATTCGGCAGGGAGACCCTCTGTCTCCCTACATTTTCATTCTTGTTTCTAAATTATTCTCTAACCTTATTAACAGTGAGGTCATTAATGGTAATTGGAAAGGCCTCAAGATAAGCAGAAATGGCCCATCCTTTCTCATATCCTCTTTGCAGATGATACTCTTCTTCTTGGGCAAGCCTCCAATGATCAAGCTCTCCTTCTCCTTGATATCCTTCATAAATACCAGCTCTTCACTGGACAGTAAGTTAATCTGTCCAAATCCTCTATTTTCTTTAGTAAAAATACACCCCAGCATGTTCAATCCCAAATCTGTAACACCCTAATGGGCATTTCAATGCATTCTTCTTCTAAATACTTGGGCTTACCTCTTGGTCTGGGAAAATCCAAAATTGACACTTTTGCTTATGTTGAACAAGCTGTTAAAAATAGAATCTTGTACTGGAAAACAAAGTTCTTGTCAACTGCAGGTAAAGAGGTGCTCATCAACTCTGTTTTGAACGCACTGCCAGTGTACACAATGTCCTGCTTCCTTTTACCAAAAGCCACTAAGGCCTGCATTGATAAGCACATTGCTGAATTCTGGTGGAATAATAGTGATCATCATAAGAAAGGTACCCACTGGAAGTCTTGGTCTTCCATTACTGTCCCTAAAGACAAAGGAGGATTGGGGTTTAAAGATATCAACCTCATGAATAGGTCCCTTATTTCCAAACAAATCTGGAGGATCTTATCAAAGCCCAATCTTCTGGTCAGCAGGGTCCTAAAGGCTAGGTACTTCTTTAAAGACAGCTTTTTCAACATCTCAAAGAAACAAGGCAATTCCTGGCTATGGAATAGTTGGTTAGAAGTTAGGGACTCACTTAAGGGTGGGCTGAGATATGAAATAAAAAATGGCAGAAGGATTAATATCTGGAGCCAACCATTCATCCCTAAACTCAACCAAGCTGCCAACAGACAAGATCAATGTGGCCTTACATGGGTATGCGAACTCATTGATGACACTGGTAGGCACTGGAATATGGACATTCTGCACTCAATCTTCTCACCTGCTGAAATCAGTGCCATTCTCAAAATAAAGGGACTTGACCCTACTTGCATGGACAGACTGATTTGGGAGGGCACTGATGATGGCAGCTTCTCTGTTTCAAAGGTCTATTCCAGTCTAATGGAGGGGAAATGGTCATCACTTGATCTTGCTGAAAGCAGTAGGGGTCAGCGAGCTAC